TAGCACGCCATTTGCACGAGATGGTGTGCCTTGAGCGCAACGCCGAATTGAAGAAGAAATGGCTTCGTGTGCTGGGAGACGCGGAGCACGCCTTGCGCGAAAAAGCCAGCGGCAAGTTAGACTTTGCGAGAGAGAAATTACATCGCGACAAAAACCCGGAGCTGGCAGCGATTCTCGCGGAGCAGTATTTACAGTACTTCTCTGACGACGATGAGGCTCTGTCCTTGCTTGCCGACTGTTTGGAAAAACTGGGCCGTTGTTCCGAGGCGAAGAAAGCCAGAGCCGCTGCAGCAGACCTCCTCCCGGTTGCTTCAGAGATGGAGCTGCGTGAACGCACGCAGGCGAAACTTTGCTCGGCGCTGAAGGGATCCGACTCCGCAGCCCTGAAGCGAGCCATTCATCATGGACGTGAGCTCAAGGTCGCTGAGGAGTTGCTTCTCAAAGGCTACCAGGCCCTTCCTCAAGTGGAGGCAAGAGAAAAGCTAAGGCAAGCTAGCCGTGGCAATGATGCACGGGCTTTGCAGGAAGCCCTCCAGCGTGCTGAAGAAGGCGACGTCGCAGACTCGAATGCTCTTGTCGCTGCATATACCGCCCTCCATGACATGAAGGAGACAGCTGGACGACCCATACTAGCCTTGGGCCCTGACGAACTTCGGATTGGCCTCCAAGTGCAGCTCAAAGGCCTCCAAGATAAGCCGGAGCTTGATGGATGGAAGGGTGTCCCAAAGGGCTTCGATCACAGCCGGTTTCGTTGGGTGGTGCAGCTCGAAACTGGGAAGCACGTCGCTTGCAGAGCTCAAAACCTGGAACCCTCTGCCAAAAGACGCAAAGTCGACCCAGAGGCCACCTCCATTCCAGCCGGGCCGGGGTGTAGATCCGCATTCTTCAGCTTGCGCTTCGATGGTGAGCCCACTTGCAAGATGGCCCGTCGCATTGCTGAGATGCTCAAAGAGCGCAACTACCTGGTGCATATCGTCCAGGCCGGTCCAGCTAAGGATTTTGGGTTGAAGGTCACAGAATATCTGGACGATGTCAGGGAAAAGGGAGGGTATGTGGTGGCGGTGTGCACTGAACATTATGGCGAGAAGACCAGCTCCCAATACTCCACATTTGAGGAGCTGAAATATGCGGACTCGTGGGGGATTCAGGTGCTTCCGTTGAAGATGGCAGCTGCGTATCCTCCACGACCCCAGGACAGAACCGCCCGGGCTCTTGTCCACAAGGTCTTCCAGCCTTCTCGTGCCTACCTGGACTGTGTTGGCAAGTCAGAGTTATGGATTGCTTCTGAGATCGCAAAGGCGCTTCACCGGCAAAAGTGACTAGCTGAAACATGGCAGTGAGGCTCAAAGCACTGGCCAAGTTTCTTTTCATTTGGTCATAGTCCAGCGAGAAGTCCACGAAGTGGATGGCTATGCGAGTCCCTCAAGGGAGGGCTGCTGTGTACGTGGCCATGGGGAATTACGGATAATGTCACTTAGAAAAAGGTGTTTGGAAGGCTGGCAGAAGTGTCCATGGCGTGAAGTTACAGGATGCTGCTAAACAGCACATGTCTTCTTCGGATGCTCGGTCGCTTGCTTTTTTTGAGCAGCGTCAAGCAGGCTGCTAGGTGAACGTGCTGTACCGATTTCTCATTCCCCTTGCTCATGAGCACATAGGATGAACCTAGCAAGCCCTTGCTAAGTGTGAGTGCCCCTACCCCGGAATGCGAGGAGGGAACGTGGCATCGACCCCGCCAACTGCGCCTAGACTTGTGACACCTAGACTTGTGAGGTTGGCAGGTTGCGAAAATGTTTTTTTTTGTTTTTTTTTGGGGGGTCTCGGGCCATAAGCCACACTGTTAGCCAATTTTTGAGATCGAGTCCAGCCTTTCTGCTCGATGAACCATGACGCATGCAAACTCTCAACTTCAGGGCTAGACGATTTGAAGATATCACACACGCCATGCAGACGCCCAGTTGAGACCAGGTACATGCGTAGCCATGCGTGCGACATCGCGGCGCCAAGGAGGGGAACATGACAGTCGCAGTTCAATAGACCCTCTTTGTATCCTTAAACAGTTCTAAATTGCAGCATTTTTTTGAGTATAAACCCTAAACCCTAAACCCTAATTGCAGCAGTTTTTGGGTATAATTGGAAAGTTGGAGGGTCCAGGTTCAGGAATTTGCAGCACGGTGGTTCGGTTCCAGGATCGACAGCTCCATTGGTAATCAGAGTGTGGTGATTACCTGGACCCCCCAGAGTATGTAGAATAATAGCCTATTATGGGCTTTCGGCCATTATGTTACCTACTTTTGGGGGTTTAGGTAGATATTTGACACGATTATACGAGGGGTTCGAGGCTCAGGAAGCGTGGTGGCCACCAAGAGAGCTTGAACCTCGAAGCTCATTCAGCGTTACGGACATGTTGACGCCGAAATCCTTTAAAAACCTTAAATTCCAAGTTCCGACAGACCGCACCCCAACCCTAAACCCTAAACCCCTTATAAACTCTAAACCCTACCCCCTGGTTTCAATGCCTCATGAACCCTCAAGGTCTATCCCTGGCCCTTACTCCCGAGATTCTTGGGCCACGAAGCCTGAATCCCTGTACCTGCACCTCGAATCCTGATCTACACTCAACTCCCAGACTCTACATCTACATGGGAGTTTCCGAAAATAAGGGGAACGTTATTTTGGGGTCCTTAGAATAAGGATCCTACTAGTTACGTTGCTATATTAGGGTCCTTTTTTTTCGGAAACCTCCATAGACCGAAGACTAGACTCCTACAGCTGAGCGTCAAAATAGCCCCTACGCAAAAGCCCTTATCCAAGGGTACCCAGCGAAGCAAATACCCCTTAATTAAGGAATATATATATATATATATATACTTCTTACACATCATAATATTAGGGCCCCTATAATTTAAGGTATATTCCTTTTTTAAGGGGGATTGGGTTCTCTGGGTAGGGAACCCTGGCGCTCTGAAACTCTACGTTTCTAAAGCCAACAAGTCCTAAACGCCCTAAATCCCAGAGAACCCAATACCCCTTAATTCAGGAATATACCTTCAATTATAAAGGCCTTAATCTGATGATTTAAGGTATGCCTTAAGAACCCAAAACCCACTTTTTTTGTAGGTTCTGATTATAAACCCTAATATGGGATTTATAGGGACCCTACAAAAAAGTAGGTTTTGGGTTCTTAATTTAAGGTATTCCTTAATTAAGGGGTATTGGGTTCTCTGGGAAGCTTGTCAACCTTAAACACCCCAAATTCCTAAGTCTACCTCTCTTCCCTGCCGCCCCGGCTGTCACAGGCGTCACTTGAGCTGGGGGAGGCCTGCGTGCGGCAGCCGGGCTTTGTGGAGTTAGGATGGTTATTCGGATTTCATTACAGTGTACTAGGTCTTGGTTGGCTACAATTTTACACTTCTGCTATAATCAAACCCAATAAGGACTAAATGTGATCGTTTGAATAAAAGCCCCAACATGAAACCAATGTACATGGGCTGTAATGATCAGGATGACGAGGGACCGGGATCGCTAGGTTTAGGGTTTAGGGTTTAGGGTTGAGGGTTTAGGGTTCAGGGTTTAGGGCAGGTTGGAGGTGACTTCCCGGATATAGGGCTCACGGTCTTAGAGTCTTAGAGCTCTAAAAAAAGGTAAAAAAGGGATCTCGGGAATAGGGTGGAAAGCTTAGGGTGAAGACCTTGAGTTTGGGCATCTGAACCCAGTAACAGTATAATACATAAATATATACATACGTATGTGTATATGTATGTATGTATGTATGTATGTATGTATGTATGTATGTATGTATGTAGGTATGTATATGTATATGTATATGTGTGTGTGTATATATATATATATTTCTATGAGAACTGACGTGTCAGAATTTAACTGTCTTGTGTATACACGCACACCGTGATATACAGTGTCGTACGCGCATGTGTTGGGGAGGGGTGCTAGACCCGGAAGGCCTTCTGACTACAACGCACCAGCTGTGCATTGCCTGACAAGGGAAACCCAAACCCCTAAACCCTAAACCCTAAACCTTAAATCAAACCTCCCTAAACTAATTCCATCTCACAACACTTGGGCTCACAGGGACGAAAAGCGTCCCGTGCACGGTGGGTTTGCTCTCCTGCTCCTTTTGCCGCTATGGACGTCCCGCAGGGTTACGAGCCCGTGGTCGCCTGCACCTTGTGCCCGCCTGGGGGGATTTTCTTTCAACTTTTCGTGTATCTATTCGCGGCCTCGGCCGCAGTGGGAAGGGTTTAGGGTTTAGGTTTAGGGTTTAGGGTTGGAAGCTTTTCATCCTCTCTCGTCAGATATCTGAGATCTTGGTGGTTGAATACAAGAAGCTTTTAGCTTTCCCTCGACGAAGCTTCAGCCCCGAATCCCATCATTGTGAAACCAAAGCCCCAGGAATGCTTAACCCCTACTAAAGCCCTAAACCCTAAACCCTAAAACCCTGAACCGTCGCCCAAAGCGCTGATCCAGGACATTGGCAACGACATGCTGCAGATGCTGGGATCTTGATAATAAGGAAGTTAGTTTAATGTGGGGTCTGAATAATCTGAATAGGGTTTTAGGGTTCAGGCGTTTAGGGTTTTAGGGTTTAGAGTTTAGGGTGGTATAGTATAGTATAACTTTAATGGGGAACGCCCAAAGCCCTATTCTAATTATTAAGGCTTTCATATTATGGTACTAGGATAAAGAAGCCGCATCACTTACTGTAGATCCCTGATTATTCGAGTAACTTAAGCTAAGTCACCAAGAAGCCTTGACGGAACCTTAAATCATGGTTTAGGGTTTAGGGTTTCAATCCCGGCGCAAGAACCCTGGCCCAGGATGCTAAACCCCTGAACCCTAAACCCCTAAACCCTAAACCCTAAACCCTAAACCCCTAAACCCTAAACCCAGGATGCTGACCTTCGTCCACCACGGTGACTTTTGGTTTGCTGGCTTCATGGCCATCTTTGTCGCACTCAACTTCCTCGCCACGTTCCTGGCGACTGGGAATTTACGAAGCTTAATCCGATACTATTCCTTAGAAAATGGTAATTAGGTTATGCTATGATATCCTTATAGACTAGCTTAGAATATACACTAATTATGAAAGCCCCTACAGCACTCAGGAACTGCATGTGAGCTACCATATAAGGAGATATGTAGAATCGTATGAAGGTCTTTGTTGCAGCAAGGTGCTTTAAGTTCTTGAAGTCCCCCATAACAAAGCCCGTGCAAGCACATACGAAAGTGTCTTGTTGTCATGCAACGGTATTTCTCTACAAGAACCTTTCACCCCTCATCCCACCAACCCCTCAACCCCAAACCTAAACCTTAAACCCCAAACCAAACCCTTAAACCTAAACCTCAAACCCGAAAACCCATGGCCCAAAGCCGTGCCCTCGACGGACAGGACACTGGAGCACCTTATCATATAGGGGCCTGAATAATTAGATCAGGGTTTGGGGGTCTATTATTGTACTTATAATAAGGAGCCCTTCACATAGCATTGATTATTGAGCAGGCCCGTATCGTACGTTATAGTTCAGGAAGCCCAACCAAAGCCCATAAATCCCGAAATCCCTAAACTCTATAACACCTATAACAACTGAACCTTAAAGACGCTATGCCTTGGATGCTGCCCCGACTCAGTATCAGTTGAAGAATGTTCATAATGTAGATATATGGTCCCCGAAATGCTATCCCTAGTACAGACTGTTACTGTATGGGGGCAGTACCCGACTATGCCGCAAGAACCCCAAACCCTAAACCGCTATGCTTCCCCTGGTCTAAGACCTTTCGTTGGCGGATCAGTACCACTGGTGGAAGAAGTATGGCGCTCCCAAAAAAGTATACCGCTATAATATAGAAGCACAGCTAATTACCAATAGTATTTTTTGGGCTTCCTTGTTATAACTATAGTATAATATACCCCAAAGCACTAATTGTAATTGTTAAGGCCCCTCAACCCTAGGCCCTTATACCCTAAACCCTCAACCCTAAGCCCTTATGGTAGCTTCTATATAGAACCCTTTAAAGGAGCCCTTTCCGCCCAAAACCCTATTCTAATTATTACGGCCCCTTACATTGAACCCTAAACCCTAAAGGTTTAGGGTTTAGGGTTTAGGGTAAACCCTAAACCCTAAACCCTAGGTGGCCAGAGACATGAGCGAAGTGAAGCGCTGCGACCCGCTGGGGGAGGCCAAGCTCTGCATAGCACGGCAAGTTCCGACCAGGGCCTGGCAGGTGATGCCGGGTTTGCGGGGCTTGGGCTTCACGATAAGGGTTTAGGGGTAAGGGCTTAGGGGTTTAGGGGTTAGGGGTTTGGGTTTAGGGTTTAAAGGGCTTTGGGGTTTAGGGGTTTAGGGTTTGGGGGGCTGAGGCTTCAGGTTTCTAGTCAGGGTTGAGAGTTTCAGAGCCCTTTTGTCTCATGAAGCAGTTATCATCGTGAGGGCTGGCTGTGTGGATCTATGGGAACATCAAGGATCCCCAACTAATCAGGCTTCCAGGGGTTCTAGAGGGGCCTAAATAATTACCAATACTATTTTGGGGTTCCTTGGTATAACTATAATAAAATATACCCCGAACCCTATTCTAATTATCGGGGCACCTAGTTGGATGTATCGAAAATCGCGGTGTCCTGTTGGTGGCGACTTGGCCTTAAGTTCAAAAAGCCGCGAATGCAGGTGATACTCTTTTGTGAGCGAAACATCGAAGCGCCGGGCACTGGACTCATCGGACCCTACGGCGCCACCCGGCTGGCGCTAACGCCAATCCAGGCTGCCAGCGGGCTTTACGGACTTTACAGCTCAGCAAAGGCCATGGCGGAGGGTAGGGTGGACCAGGAGGCAGGGGGTGACTGCTACTTCTTCAGAAGTGCGTTTCAACCATCGGTTTGACGGTGGAAGGTGGTGTGCAAAGGAAGTGTATATGTACAGACAGCCATGGATCCAGCTCGAACTGCCCTGTTCGGCTTTTAGATGCTTCCATTATGCAGGTAATACAGGGGCCTTAATAATTGGAATAGGGTTTCGGGCCCACTATACTATATAATTACAATAAGGAGCCCCGCCAAAATAGTGTTGGTAATTATTTAGGCTCCTACACTAAGCACGTAGCATGAGACGAAGGAAGAAATTCACATGTTCAAGGCCCCCTGGGTCAGGCCGAAGTTGGAGGTCAAGGCGGAATACCGACTACATCCTACGCGCTGAAGGCCGCGCGCCCGACGAAGGCCGCCATGCTCTCCTTGTGGTATTTCTGCACCTTTGCGGCGGAGCTGGCTGCATTCAGTGTGGTCAGTGCAACGCTGCACCCCTTTGTTACCTTGCCGGGATACGTGCTAGGTGCCGTGGCGAACGGGGCAGCGCAGTGGTGGAGTGGAGACAATGGGATTGTCAGCGTCAAGATGGCGACTGTGAGGGCCATTGGCTTATCTTGCATCAGCGTTGCCTTGGCTATGGCAGGTGGACCGAACAGGACATTCGTAAAGAGCGCGCCTTTTGGTGGACCGGGTTGGATCCCAGCAGTCTTCATCTTAATACGCTTCGTGGCCTGGGCGGGGCTGTGTTTCCTGGATCTTCCCCATGGCCTTCTGCCCCTTGGCTCCCTGAACCGACCCATGGGCTTCCCGGTGCTCCAAGCAAAGTTCTTGAGGCCGGCAGCCGCCTGCCATAAGGCTTTTCTCTGCTTCGCATCGCAGACGCGGATGACGACGGAGACTCAGGCAAACTCAACTTCATTGGCTTTCACTGCTGAGGTGGGGTTCGGTGAGTGTGGTTGGCCTACAGCCGACGAGCTGAACACGCCGGCGACCATCTTCAACACTTGCCTCTTGGTCTTAGCCGTGGTGCTCGTCCCGCTCCACATGTGCGTAGTCGTTGCAATGCTGGTCTTGAACCCCACATATTCCTCTGGAGCCGAAAACTCCTCTGCAAAAAACGAGATCCTGATGAAGCAGCGCGAAATCGACGACTTCGCAAGGCGCAACGAGCAATCTGCGGGCCAACACACGGAGCTGAACCTTCTTGCAGAGGGGCCTGGAACGGATGCCCAAGCTCAATAAGAATAGCAGCAACAACAAAAGCAGGAGACATAAGAGTCACAATACTATATTACCCCTGACCCGCCACCGCTCCTGCTCCACTTCTAATGCTGCTGCTCCTGCTGCTGCTGCTGCTGCTGCTGCTGCTACGACGACGACTATTACTACTGCTGCTGTTGCCAATACTACTACCACTACTACTACTACTACTACTACTACTACTACTACTACTACTGCTACTACTACTACTACTACTACTACTACTACTCCGCCTCCTCCTCCTGCTGCTGCTGCTCCTCCTACT